GAACTTGTTGCACATTGCGTTTGTTTAAGCTTTCGATAAAAGATCATTTAACCGTTCAAAATGTGATAATAATGTTTCGAACAGCACAGTCCTTAGATAACGCTTTTGAGAACGGAGTTAATGGTGCCTGAAAATGCATGTGGTCAAGTGCACAAGTGGTTATATTTTGTTGGCCCGCAGCACTTTATTCTCCTTTTTTTCGTGTGCGATCAACTCTCATGTGACTGCTAAAAACTTGTCAGACGATAGAACAAGAGGAATGTAAATATTTTGGACCGCTTCGCGCTACACAAATTTTCATTTTGTGCTCACATTTTTTAAATTTATTATACCATGATATGAAACTGCTGTACCATTATTTGATCCGTCCCTTCTGGGAACGGCTTCTCGCATCGTCGAGCCATATACAATTTATTTATTTATTTATTTATTTAACCTCTAGCCACAGTTTCAGATCATCAGCATATATAAGGCAATCAATTTGGAGCTCAGCTGGAAGATCATTGATGTAGATTTTGAAGAGCTCAGAACGAAGGACAGAGCCCTGTGGGACACCTCCGATTATAAAAACAGGATTGGACTAGGTATCGTTCGTTTTAACTTTCATGTTTCGGCCATTCAGGAAGCCGGCGACCCAGGAATCTTCCCATAAACGCCAATTCCCCGGAGTTTGTGAAGGAGACGACTATGAGGAACTTTGTCAAATGCCCTGCTGAACTCGACGCAAAAGACATCCAGACGATTTCCGGCATCCAGCGATCTCGCCCATTTTTCTCTCATAACGAGCAACTTATAGACACAGGAACGTGACTTCCGAAAACCATATTGAGCACATGAGAGGAGATGCAGGTTCTTCAGGTGAAGATTTAGGGCACCTTTGAAATTCTTTCCATGATTTTACAAATTATCGATGTCAGACAGATCGGTCGGTAGTTTGCAGGATCCTGACGATCTCCTCGCTTGTATATGGGTCTCACAGTACCTAGTTTCCAAGCCGTCGAAAGACGTCCGGCGTTTAGGGATCGCCGAAAGACTTGGCAACTAGGAGAAGCAATGTGCTGAGCCACCGTATTGAGGGACAAAAATTGCAGATCATCCGGACCTGGTGAAGAATTCGGGTTTAAATCAAGAAGTAGTCGCATAACCAAGTTGTCACTGAGCTCAATATGCTCTAGTGTAGTGGGCTGGGATGATAAAAAGTCACGGGAAAATGGAACTTCGATAGAAGAAACGGAGCCATACTGCAAAGCCAGGAGATCAGCTATGGAATCATATTCATACAATTAGGTATCATTATTGCTAGAATACAGGGCAGGTAGCCCACACCCATCTTTTGTATCCTTTTCAAATACGAGAACAGTAGTTTGGGAGTAGTGTTGCGTTTTTCTGCCAAACGAACTCCGTACTGTTGTCTTTTCTCACCTTTCGTTTGTGTGCGGAGGTTCCTAACCGCCTTATAGTTCGAGTAGTCTGAAGCAGATGCTGTAGACCTAAAGCTCTCCCATAATCTGCGTCGTTCGGTTATAAGGATCCGTAACTCATGATCGATCCAAGCAGGGTCCTTGGAAAACTGCATACTTTTACAGAGGGGGACTATTTGACCATTGAGTGACGTCGTTTTTGAGTGTAAGAGGCCCTAGGCGTCCTTAAGGTCCAGGTTCTCTGGAATACTCCAACCTAGAGTACTTGCAACAAGTCTCAGACGGTGTGGGTCTGCACACCAGAAGTTCCGACGGTACACACACTGGTCATGCATGGTTAGACGGCGTGTCCATTCAAACGAAACAACACAACGATCACTTCTGCCAATAGGTTCTAATACAGTCAGCGTGGAGACATCTGAGTAGGTCGGGGAGAGTACGATGTCCAAGATGTGTAGAGCGTGGCCTGGATATATTCTGATGGGTGCTACAATATACTGGAGCAAATGACAGTAAAGAATAGTTTCAAGGAGAAGAGAATTGAGAGAATCCGGAGAGAGGTAACAATCGAGCAGATCCCAAACAATAGCAGCAGCATTAAAGTCTCCCATTATCAGACAGTCTCTACCCCTGCCGTGTTTCTTTAACAACTCCAGGAAGCAATTTCCGAACATCATAGGTGCTCTGTAAATAACACCGACCATAAGAGATTTACACCCGTCATGAATCCGAGACCACGAAAGCTCGGAAGCAGCAGCGTTGCCGTAGCATGCTTCCACAGGATGGGCCCTGAGGCCCGCGTTCCAGTACAGAATCACACCACCCCGAGACCTCATTTCAGAACGGTCAGTCCGAGTGAAGTGATACCTCGGAATTCGGACCACTGAGTCTAGTATATCTGAAGATAATCAGGTCTCAGTGAAGACCGTTAAATCCGGTTGTTTTGCTGAGGCAAGGAGTTGAGTTTCGTCAAGCTTGTTTCTTATCCTACGCATATTGGCAGTTAAGAATTGCAGTCCATTCTTTAGTCTTGTTGCCTGGGTATGACGAGGATTAGTTATCATCGAACCCTTTGTGCTTTCTGTACCATGCGAAAGTCCACAATGTGAAGATTAACTTCCCCGTCACTCCAAACCCCTTGCACACAATTTAATAAACGCTACTACTGTAGAAACTGGATTTTTGCATCTTGTCGACGCACGAGTAAGCGTTGTTCTTGCTATTTTTAACTAGTTTTCTCGCCTATTACGTGATCAATGTCCACTCACCTTATGGCTTTGTGTGCGCACATACTAATTTCAAATCCTTTATACGGCAGTGCAGCTAAATCTGTAATTGTGCGAATCGACGATTCCATTATCCATTGGTCTATCTTTTCTCACTCTAACCACCCTACGGGACATATCAAGCACCTGCATTTTTACCCGTTATAAATCATTCTTCATTGTTCATTGTTCTGAAGTATGATCTCGGAGTAAATAAAAGGGTTCCACCTTTAGACGTGAGGACCTCAGTCTGAGAAACCGACGGCACTCATCTTCATTCTGATAGATAAGCTTCTTGCTTCCTGCCGAGACAAAATAGCAGTCAAATTATTTCTATAAAACTTATTATCTCCGCGTAGATAAGGTAAAAACGATGTATAGTGAAAGGAGAACGACCGATTTAAAGGCCCCCGCACTGGCGACAGCAAGATCCCAGTATTCTCAGCGAATGGCTGTCTAACAGCCGCTTGAAACTTTCCTCGGATGGCGCATCCACAATTTCCTTTTCTTTTGCCAATCGCCACCACCTGTGGCTTCGACGCGACATCACCCTCCTTCTGAAGAACAGAGTTTATAATGTGAAACTGATATGGAAGCCTTCTGGATCGCCGATATACAAACGGTGTAATTGAATAACGTTGAAAGTGGTACTTCACTACGAATGAGTAGAAGTACGGGTATTGTAAAACACGCTTATACCTCGGGGCAAAACACTATTTGGCTGACTGATATGCTTCCAATGGATTCAAGGTGCTCCAAATAAGCTAGTGTAATGGGGACTCTACTCGATTTATGAACCGGTGTAAGTCAGACAGAACTCACCGAGTTGGTCAGTTAGAAGTCTACTTAGTCTTTATACGATTAGCTGTAGGGTGGGCAACCTGCATGATATACAAACTGGTATACGTGTGATTAAAGTCCACGACCTACGTGAAGCTAGGTTTGGTGTAAGCTGTTGGCTAGTGACGCGAACTGTTAGTGATTATGGGTTCAGCTCCTGATGGAGCGGAGGGATGCGCATTTCCAATGAGTCACGATAAGACGAAATGGCCATTTTACTGCTTTTCCGAGAGTGTGGAAGACTTTAACATGAACTCTACTGTGGAGAACCCTCAATTATTAGCATAGATGTGCTTGGAGATCATGACCCACAGAAAGCTGGGGGCAGGTATTTGTTCAAGATGACCGCAGATGCTCGCAGCAAGGAGGGGTACCGAAAACAGGTCATAAATCTGTTAATATCTTGGAAAAGGTGTTTGAGCATTTTGTGCATTTCACCTTTTGGAAAATGTTCAACGATTACACTGGGCCCAGAGCAAAATCTACGGTCCACATTTGGTGACGTTGACACAAGTACGATCTTTCTCGTTTTCAGACTTCACATTGAAAGATGGCTAGAAACATTAAGAGCTTATTCCACTTTCTCTACGCGCTAAGAGCCCTAAGATAGAGCAACGGATGGTATTGGTGTCTATTATTATCATATCATAATGATGTATAGATCCTCAAGAGCTCCAATCATGTGTACCACCGCCTTTCGATACTACATTACAACACAAACATGGGCGCCCACCAGTTAGAGTAGGTTACGCAGCACAGCCGAAGAACGAACTGCCGTTCCTGCTTTATTCCTATTGCAACTGTGTCGGTCGTAGAATGCTTCTCCACATTATCGCAACTCTGTTGCATGTGGTCGGTAATCAAAGAAAAATTAACAGTACATCCACCTGCGTTAATAGGGAAGTGGCAAAGTGCAAACGGTTTGTTTGCAAATCTTCTTCAGTAAATACAGTTGAGGACATCCCCTTTTATGCGTAGATCACTCGGTTTACTTTATTGATAATGTTGCTATTGCGCCTGGAACTCTCACCTCAATCACCCGACGGGAATTTTGAAGTGTGAGCTTTTGTCGCACTGGAAGTTATTGCATGAGACAAACGAAATCATTCGAGCATATCATCTTGCAAGACAGAATGCTGTGCAGGGGCATAAGTCACTAGGTGGGGAAAAAACAAACTAACTGTAGATACCAGTTTGGCAGGTGTTGGATGGAACTTCAATTGGTCACTTTGTTTGGATACTTTTGGTTTGAAACTGACCAGAGACTAGAAATATGCGTTTGTATCTTGTGTAGTTCCAGTTTAGCTCAGGGTCTTAGTTTTTACCGTGGCGCCATGGAATAGCTCCAGCCTTGCAAACAGACAAAAAGTTTGTCAAACGGGCGAAAACTGCCTCGACCTGAGTTTACCCGTACATATCTAATGATCTTTCCTGGTGCATTACTTGCTTGCCTATCTTCATCCATCATTGATAGGACACGCGAAACCCAAGAGAAAGTGGCCCAGCTAGAAGAAGAACTGCAATTGTTGGAGCAAGAGCTGGATGAGAACCGAAGCGAAAGGCATCAAAAGTACCGAGAGTTGAAAAAGCGAGAACAACAGATCGACGAATTTTTGAATACTTTTGACGAGGTCAAGGTAAGCAATGGTATAGATGCGCATTAGATCCCAACACAGTGCAGATAAAAGAGTTTGGTTTGTCGCTGGTTACGTTTAAACTATTTAGGCAAACAGTCGATTGCTCGATGTCGTGTGACGTTTTAGTGCGCTTGTGCTGCTTAGTCGGTTCTCGACCAGCCTGGTGGTCGAGAGTGTGCCTAATGGCATTCAGCAGCGCCTGCCGGTTTGTGGTGGCGATGAGTGCGACGAACATGTATTTAATTAAACGGGCCCGGTTTCAGTGCTAGCGGCTACATTTTCACTGCAAGACATAACTCGACAGATCGGCTAACACAGTATGTGGACTCAGTGTCTATGTGGTGGACGTAGAACTGGCGGTGTCATGCGACTGACTTGCAAAGTTTAATCGCCTCCGATTTCACTGGCCAGTGGACAGCTTGGATGAGTGGTTCTGGCTGAACGGATGCAATGATACCTTGCGTCATACCTGTAAGAAGCGGTAGCCAGAAAAATTGAAGAATCAATTAACCAGACGCAGTAAAACCGGGCAATCTCACTGTCTCACAGTGAGTGCCTCTCGTTGGTTGAGTCGGTAACAACATTTACTAAGAGAGCGAAATGTTTGTGCTTGTGGTAGCAAAGGAGAGTGGCAGCAGTAGACATACATCAGATTGTTTAAGAAAATGTGTGAATATTCAGGAACGCCGGCCATATGTGAGTGTGCCACTAGTAGCAAAAAGGTTGAATGGGGAAGGAATAGTGTCCCCTCGGGTGAAGGTATGGAATTAGGATTGTACCGGCCTCGGTGTTAACCAGAAAAGTGGTTCCTGATTGGCAAACCTAGAAGTAGACGAGGCTATTACTGATTTTGCTACCACGAATGTAATCCGTGCATCATGTATACTTTTGGGGGTTTCTCGTTTGAGTTCACGATAAAGCGTATGGCGGACAATCCATGTTATTTAAAAGCCAAGAGGGCGATGACATGAGCATTTCCGTTTGACAATGGGGAACCACTAAGATTAGCATAGTTTCGGTATGAGAGTTCAGTGCACTACTCTGTGTCCGGGAAACAACATTCGAATCGTGAAACAGCAGTAGAGGTGAAACAGTGGGAGCAAGTGGATATAGGAAGCAGAGACCGCAGAAAGGAGGCGCGAAACATGTAAGAGCGAATGTGAAACAGCTATCATATGTGAATATGCAAAATGCCACTTCGAGCTCCAAACAGTTGGCATGGAATAAGCAATGGCTGCTTGCGCTGCCTCAAGTAGATGCTGCGGTCAGTGCTCTCATACGTTACCATCATCCAGTGTAGAAAAGCAGTAGTATCCGCACCTCGTGTAAAAACTATACCTGTCAAGACACCAGTCGCGTATTATCCACATGACTTGAGTACTTACGGGGGGGCATAGCTTTGATTATGATAGAATGCTTGAACGTATCGTTTTGGGAAAGAAGAATGTCCCACGATCGCAAAACGATGTCCATAAAGATGCCACGTAACTAATGGCCAAAGTATGCTCATTATGAAAGAATCCAAGTTCTGAACCATAAAACGACATTGTGGATAATTGTCTTGAAAGAAACTCAGTAGTTGCGAAGCAAAAAAAGATTGCATCACAGCGAAAAGGAGTGGAATGGGAACAAATTAATCATAATATAAGTTCCAAGGCAGGTAAGTGTGACAAAGTTATGGGGTAGCTTAGACAATATTCGCCAACAATAATACGTAAGAAGGAGGCCAATGGCAAGCTAAGGTAGAAGAATATATAACAGTCAACCTAGTGTGTTGCCAGCGGAGCAACAACAAGACGAAAACAGATCACAATGAATAGAGTGCCGTGCAGTGTATCGCCGCTAAGGAGCAACTGAGTAAAAGAGTAGATATGAAAAGAACAAACGGATGATTACCCCCTAATTTATACTTACAATAGCCGAAATCAGGATACACTTTGTTTCACTGCAGCTTCAACAAATGATGCAGTTGATGCTGCAGAAATTCACTCACTTTTCAAATGTCTCAACCTGGATGGACAAGTGATGTCTAAGGCTCCTTTGAGCAATCCCTAGGATTGATCTAAATCGGCATCCCACTTGTCCACATTGCTGACGAGCCATCCAATGTGTCACCATGTATCTTGGTTATTTTGTCGCGCTAGTTGCGTGACAGGGAAGCCGCTTCACAAGTCAGCTGTTGAGATTGGTCTAGATAATGTCTGCACTGCAAGCGACAGCTAAGGTGCCAGTAATGTTTTAGCCACTGCCCGCCGATCTGGATCAACTTGTTACTTACGCTACTGCACCAGTGACCTGCGTTTCATATTAGCTGCAATCCTCCTGTTTGAAATGGAGCACAACACAGGCCACTTGCTAACATGGTCATAAACTAACTTTGAACGAACCGGCAAGCTAATCGGGCATTTGCACCCTCCGGATTTTCTCGCTGTTCCTCAGTGGCATTTCGTCGCATACTACTAGATCTGTGCATGTTCGCCTTGTTTTTACAAACCCTAACTCGATATACCACTTTCTCGAATACACTACGACGCATCCTACATTTATTTGGATTTGTAAACTGTGAGCAGTGTCTCACATATACCTACGTGCAAAGGTTGCACAATTTCAATCAATGAACTCCAGAAATAAAAAGAACAGAAAGAGCATTCCAAGTTTGTTCTCACTCGATAGAACATTCCAACTGCATTTTAGCAAGATCTGACTCGTTCCAATCCAACACTGCGTTGATCAGCTGCAGAGTAATCCTCAGTTTCCCGTAGCAGATCCCACCTAGCAGCTAGGTAAATACACACTGCGATCAGTAGACAAAGCCACGTAGATCCGTTAACCACACCACTGCGGGACTGCAGCAAGGACACAGCTGCAACGCGACAGCGAAGGTATGGAGACATTGCCCCACCGTCACTCTATGATCTTGACTTCTACGAGCGGACGTGTTTAGGTCATCAATACGGCAACGTAACGTATATCAGCTCCACCACCAACTTGACCGACAATGTTTGGATCCAGCCTACTAGTGTAGACTTTGCAACGAACAGCATCCGCAAAAATTGACGAGAACAATGGCATGCACTGCTTGCCAACGGAAATCTAGACTTGAGGTCTCAGAATTAAACGTTAATCGTGGCGCAGAAAGCTGTGTTAAACTTTTACGATTTGGAGTAGAATGCACAAACTGCCGTAAAAATCCTATCATAGGTGTGCTCGCCTTAGTCTCAGCGTGATAAAGAAACTTAACAATACGACTGATCCCCTCTGGTTCTGCACTGAGTGTACGGCTATTCCACTCATCAAATGTACAGCTGTGTTTACATAGAAGTCCGACAGACTGACAAAGATTGTAGGGCAAGCAGCCGCTGTGAAAGCTCTGCCACAGAAACCAGACACATCAGTGCCTAGAATTTGGTGCTCAACATCGAACTCCAAGTCAGAACAGTGTAGTCAGGTTGAAGATAAGAACAACGATCTAGAAACTGGTACGCTCGACACTGGGGGCTCCTCATTAAGATGCGTTCGCCACACCTACATCAAAGCCACGCGCCACATAGAATACTGTTAGAGGACCGAAGACATACACGTCCGCTGTTGCTACCCAGTTGACAGAAGCACCGCCCATCGTAATCCTACCGGCTTCCAAACACGATTCAGTTCATCATCATCATCATTATACACGTCAGCTAGAGGTGGGAAACACCTCAGCTACTGTACCACAATACATAAAGGAAAAGGAAAATAAATACAAAAGTTGCATGCCAGCTGAGCTACCAGCAACGGATGGGCATCGTTCCGGTAAGCTACCAGCCGGCTACTAGGCAAACAGAACAATTATTATGTTTTACGCTACGAAATAAGATCGCGGGTGGAGGGGGAGGCTAAAAGAGATGGGGAGGGACAAAGAAACTCACAACAGGAACGCCACTGAGGTCGGCTCCTTGCCATGTGAGCAAGTGTATCCAGCCAAACGTGTTCACCGCCTTTTGGACCCCAACCAGGCAGCCGTGATGCTCCAACCGAGGCCAGCTCCGAAGTGAGGACCTTCATTCCTCTGGAACAAGTCATCGCTTAGCTACCCCTCCTCTTCTTCCACCCACATCCCCGGCGCGCAAACAACGCACGTCTTGGAAGCCGGTGGGCTGGCATGCGCAACACGTGGTCCAGCCACCGGAGCCTGGTGCGTGAAATGACGGTGCTGAGCGGTTCAGTTCCTTTTTCTGTGCCGTAAACAAGGCGTCGAACACGCTCGTTACTCACGCGGTGTTCCCACCAGATGTGAGCCAAACTGCGAAGGCACTGATGGTCGAACGTAACTAGCCTCTTCATGTCCGCCGAACTTAGGGCCAGGTTTCGCTACCTTACAGTAGGGTCGACCAGGTTCAGTTAATACTAACAATAGCACTACGGGACTCAATACCCCATCAGTTGTCCAATCAAAGAAAGCAGCCACACGTCCCTCTAAAAAGGAGAATAATTATCTGACTGTTGCTGAACATCCGTCGTTTCGGTGCGAGAACTCTAGTCTGTGATACAACTATCCGTAGGTTGCTGTTTGCTGACGACTGTGCAATGTTACCGCACAGCGCGGATGAGTTACAGTACACGACTAGTACTCTGCCTTCGACAGCGGCCAAATGTGGCCTAACCATCAACACAAACAAAACTGTCTCTCACTTTCAGCCTTCCCCGGAGGTGCAATCTTCAATATTGCCGCGAACCAGCATTGGTGATGAAGTATTGGAAACCACCTCCCGCTTCTGCTACCTTGGGAGTGTGATGTCGACTGACCAGCAGCTACATAGTGAGCTTCATATCCGCGTCTCGAAGGCAGCGGCGGCATTTGGGAAGCTTGAGTACCGAGTGTGGAACAACCATCAGCTTACCGTTGGCACGATGCTGATGGTGTACAAATTCATGGTGCTGTCCAATCTTCTGTACGGTAGCGAAACGTGAACGATGTACCGGTGATACGTGAGATATCTCGAGCGGTTCCATCAACGGTG